GATGGGAAAATCTTGCTAGTCTTGTATGTGGATGATATTGTCATAACTAGAAGTGACAAGAATGGAATTGACAGGCTGAAGAAATTCTTACAGGACCACTTCAAATACGAAAGATCTGGGGAAGCTGAAGTATTTCCTAGGAATAGAGGTTGCGAGGTCAAAATAGGGGATCAACCTATGTCAAAGAAAATATGTTCTTGATCTACTTGAAGAAATAGGGTTGTTAGGTGCTAAATCAGCTGAGACTCCTATGGAACTCAATGCCAAGTTGAGTGTGGATGCAGGTGAAGAGTTTGATGATCCTGGAAGATACAAAAGGTTGTGGGAAAGTTGAACTACCTGACCATTACCCGACCAGATATATCATTTGCTGTGAGTGTGGTGAGTTAGTTTATGCAACATCCCCGGGTTCCTCACTGGGAAGTTGTTCTGAGAATTGTTAGGAACACAGATGTTGACTGGGCTGGCTCTATATCAGATAGGAGATCAACCATAGGGTATTGTACCTTCCTGGGTGGCAATCTTGTAACTTGGAAGAGTAAGAAGTAAACGGTGGTGGCAAGAAGTAGTGAAGAAGCAGAGTACAGGGCTATGGCCCATACCACATGTGAACTAGTATGGCTGAAGAACTTGCTTCAGGAGATGGGATTCTCAATTGACAAACCCATGAAACTATACTGTGATAACTAAGCTGCTGTTCACATCTCATCCAATCCCGTCTTCCATGAAAAAACTAAACATACTGAGGTGGATTGTCACTTTGTGAGAGAGAAAGTGATAAGTGGGGTAATAACTACATCTCATGTGAGCTCAGGAAATCAGTGGGCAGATCTCTTCACAAAGGGATTGTGTCGGGGAAGAATAGATTACATTTGTAACAAGCTGGGACTATATGATATATACTCTCTAGCTTGAGGGGGAGTGTTAGAATGCTCTAGTCAGGGGTATTTTGGTCATTTTGGTTTATCTTCTTGAAAGAGAAAGGTCTATTGTATCTGAGTTTAAGTTATGTGTCCCATCTTCTATAAGGGACAAAATAGTATTTCTTGTAACTCTAAGTTTTTTGAATAAATTCAAGTGGGTTGGCTAGGAGAGGTGTGATTTTACATTCTCTCTTCTAGTCTGGCCGAATACTCTTCTTCACTCATTTTTCTTTCTCTTTTCTTTCTTCTTTCTTCTTCCCTACTTTGACCTAGAAACTACTAGGATTTACTCACAGTTGTGAAGGAAGAGATTAATGCTTTACATAAAAATGGCACATGGTAACATGTAGATCTTCCTGAGGGGAAGGAACCAGTTGGGTGTCAATGGGTTTTCACAGTAAAACAAAGGGCTGATGGCACAGTGGAGCGGTATAAAGCTCGTTTAGTGGAAAAGGGGTTTACACAAGTGTATGGAGTGGAGTTTGCAGAAACTTTTGCACCCATTGCTAAGATGAACTCCATTAGAGTTCTTTTCTCTTTAGCTGCTAATCTTGACTGGGACCTTCATTAACTTAACATCAAGAATGCGTTCTTAAATGATGACCTTGAAGAGGAAGTATACATGGTGCAACYCCCTAGTTTTCGGGCTCAAAGTAATGAATAAAAAGTGTGCAGGTTAAAAAAATCATTATATGGTTTGAAACAATCACCGAGAGCCTGGTTCAATAGGTTCCACGTAGCAGTTCAGCAAAGAGGATACAACCAGGGTTAATCTGATCACACACTGTTTATGAAAAGAGGGGAAGGAAAGATTGCAACACTGATAGTATATGTTGATGATATAGTTATCACTAGTGATTGGAATGATGAAATTCAAAAGTTGAAGAGTTTCCTTGTACCCAGTTTGAAGTGAAGGATCTAGGTCCTCTAAGGTACTTCATTGGGATTGAAGTTGCCCACTCACAAAGGGTATATTCATTTCCCAAAGAAAGTATGTCCTAGATCTACTCTAAGATACAGGAACATTGGGAGTGAAGCCTGTTGATTCCCCTATTGATCCTAACCACAAATTCCACAAATTAGGAGACTGTCCAGGTGAACCCATTGAGGATGTGAAATAGTTTCAGAGACTTGTAGGAAGACTGCTATATCTTTCCATGACTCGACCAGACATCGCTTATGCAATGGGTGTTCTTAGCCAGTTCATGCATGCCCTTAAGACTACCCACCTTGAAGCAGCAGAAAGAGTTGTCAGATATCTTAAGAAGTTCCCAGGTGTAGGCTTGTTGTTTCAAAAGCACGGGCATTTGAAAGTTCAAGTGTATACTGACGCAGATTGGGCAAGATCATTGAATGACCGGAAGTCAACCAGTGGCTATTGTACCTTTATAGGAGGGAACCTAGTTACCTGGAGAAGCAAAAAGCAGAATGTGGTAGCTAGGTCTAGTGCTGAAGCTGAATATCGGGCAATGTCTCATGGAGTGGCTGAAAAATTTGTTGAGTTGGGATTTCTAGTTGATAGACCTATGACTCTTTATTGTGATAACAAAGCAACCATAAACATCGCTACTAATCCTGTGCTGCATGATAGAACTAAGCATATTGAAATTGACAAACATTTCATCAGAGAGAAGRTTGCCACAGGGGAAGTGTGTACTCCCTATGTCAGTTTTGAAGACCAACTTGCAGACATCTTCACAAAAGGGTTACATCACTTGTGACATTACGATTTATGTGACAAGTTGGGCATGATTGATATCTATGTCCCAACYTGAGGAGGAGTCTTGAAAGGTTGTTAYTCTGTAAGTTTAGTACCGCAGGGGTACTTTGGTACTTTCAGCACCTTTTATTTTGAGTTGTGTCGCCCTAGTATAAATAATAAAAAGCTGGTGCCGCCAGCCTCTTTTGAGCGACTCCAAATCTCTCTCCTTCTGCTCTCTTTTCTCTTCTCTCTTCCTTTCTTTCTACTTCTCTTCTGGATAACACAGCTCAACCCAAGAGTTTGAGCTTTGCAGCTCAAGCCAAGAATCAAAACCCAATGAAGATATAGAAATATAGAGATCCATGAAACCCCAAAAACCTAGGCCTAGACAAACAACTCCAACTCATACCCAACTCCACATCCATAATTTTTTTAGGTTATTTATGCTATTTTAGTCAACTTATTCTATGAATTGACTGAGGTATTACTTTCTTCTCATTAGGACTATAGTTAGGTTGTATGAATCTTGTTGACAGTTCTATAGAGTGAGAATTTTTTTTTTCAAGTTTTAATTAGATTACTTTCAATGTTGGGTCCATGTTTATCTTCATTAGTTAAAAAAGAACTAGAAATAGGGCTGATAAACAGGAAAGATTAGTAGAATTCACATTATCTGGATTTTTGATTTGTTGGAGTGTTTGCTTCTGGAATTTTGGACTGTGATGTTTGTAAGAGTTATTAGAGCGGGTGGTTGATTTGTCTTATGTTTGAGGGTGTAATGTGGGTGATTTTTTTTGGAATTTCTTTATTGAGTGATGTCTTATCACTGTATCTCTTGTAATACTTTTCTCTTCTAATGAATTTTTTGCTTGTTTTAATTAGATTACTGTTGATGTTGGGTCCATATTTATCTTCTATTGTTATAAAATAACTACAAATGGAGCTGATAAATGAGAAAGATTAGTAGGCTTCGTATTATCTGGATTTTTTATTTTGGTGTGTATGCTCCTGAAATTTTGGATTGTGATGTTTGTAATAGTTGCTAGAGGGGGTGGTTGATTTGGGCTTATGTTTGAGGGGACATCCACTCATTTCCTCCAGAGATAGGCATGCAAGCCAATGTCTATGGGTGGGTGAATTGGTTAAAACAAGTTTAGAATTCAGGTCCTTTGTGTCAGCATATCTAGATGTCATCAGATGACCCTTGAATGAATAAGCTGTTTAGTATGACTTAAATCTAAAAGAAGATAACTTACCAAGTCCTTACTTCCTCATGCAAAAGAGTGATCATTTTCTCCTTACTCAGTTCAGAGGCATCAGCATCCAATATGGACCTCTTTTTGGCTGCTTCTAAGATCTCTTCTTTATTTGGGACTATTAAAGCTCCAAGACGACGTTGATCCTGTACAAGGCAAATGACTAACATCACCTCAAGGCAAAGAAGATATAAAAATGGTATTCATAATGATAGACAAATACCAAAGTAAAAATTTAGGAAAAGAATTGATAAAATGCAATATAGTTGAGAAAACAAGAGGCATTTAGATTTACCTGGCCAATAACAACAATTTGTTGAATTAGACTACTCCGAATAGCAGATTCCTCAAGTTCTGATGGTTCAACATTTTCACCTAATTTTTTAAAGTTGGATTTTGCAAATAATCAACTTGACTTGATGGTAAAGGCCTTTGATGCAGCTTATGGCACAAGTAATGGATGGAAAACAACATAAACTGTGCCACTCAGCTCATAAGGATAAAGTTGAAAAAATGAAAATGTGACAGTTTCAATATGTAGCATTTTAAAACATGAAATCTTCTATAGTCGTGCATTTGACCAAAAGATGCAAAACTTGTTTCAAATACAAGTGATTTATGTTAAATATTAAATTAATTATAATATCGTATTGATAAGCCATTGACTTTTAGCGAATTTTGGCAATGAAAAACAACAATTGAGGAATAACCTTTTTGATATGAATGTGTTGGTAGATGTAACTGTAATTGTGTACTACTGTGATATGATACACTAAGAGTACTATGGTTGCTGCCAACTTCTTAAGTTGATAAAGATTAGGAATGGACCGAGTCTATTCCCTCATTTTTTCCAATTCTTTTTCCTTTTTCGTCCTTCTCCTTTTCTTCTTTACTAGAACCCCAGATCCATTGCTGCTACAGAAGATTGAGTAGGTTGAAGGTCTCTTCCTCGTTGCCCATAGTGTTCATCACTAATGTCATCAGAAGCAATGCCAATGCCAGCAACTGTATGGATGCCAGACCTTCCAGAGCTAGATCTCAGTACTGTTTGGTAGAAGAGGATTTTAGGTCTCTGTATATTATTCAAGATTTTTTTTTTTTTTGGTGTGGAGGAGCAATTTTTGTGAGATTTTTTTTTTTTTTTAAATTTGAAAAAAAACCAGTTTTGAGAATAGTTGTTAAGGTGACAAGGCACCCTTGGAGGCTTGCCTTAATCACCAAGCAGTTTTGTATGTTGCATTATAAAATACTTTTATATTTTTAATTTTGAGATTATAATTATAAAATAGACCTTATTAAACTAAAATATTCATTTTGTGTGTTTGTATACTAATTTATTTATTATTTTCTTATTTGTTAGGGTTTAATCAACACAAACATTGCTAATTGCTGTATTGAACCTTCAAAGACTTCAAAACCCGAACCAATAAGGAAGAACTTAAAATTTTGTTTAATCAACACATTTTCTCCTTCCACATCTTCTTATTCTTCTTCTTATTCTTGCACCTTTTCTTTTCTTCTTTTCCTACAAAAAAAATTGGGGTTCAGCCTCTATTTTTTTTTGAATTTTCTTTTCTTTCTTCTTTTTCTTCTCATGAGTATGTTGATTTTCTATACTTTAACATGAAGTTTGTACCTTTCTTATGAAAATTATAGATAATTATTAAGGAAATATGGTATTGGAACCTAGGGAACAACCTTAGGTATGYTTTTTAACTTGAAAAAAAATCCATCACCTAGGCACTGGCCTAGGTGACTAGGCGACAAGGAGCCCCCCTGTCGTGTAGCCTTTCCTTGGCGCCTTGAAAACTATGGTTTTGAGTTATTAGTTGATGTTGTTCTGTTTTTTTCCTTGGCTGAACAAGGCTGTTAATACTTGATCCTTATGACTTCCATGGATCATACGCATTTGGTTTTACATTGTTTGGATGAGTACTGAGGTCTCAGCAGTTGTTTTTATGCCTCATATTTACTGTCCAGCCACTGTAGATGTTTTTATTTGAGACAGTTTTATTGATCTAAATATGGAAAGATGTGGCATAACCAGTTGATGATATGTGTATGGGTGCTATTACCCTTGCATTAAGCACTGGACATTCTCTGTTAATTGTTTAGTGTATTCTAGGATTTCCAGGTGTTCAGGTTCAGTTTGGAGTTCTGGAATAAATTTTTCTGGTGTGGTTTGGAATGTTGTGAGTGTATCAAATATGTCAAAGAGCAAGGTGCTGATTCTAGGAATATGTCAAAGGGGACTGGTGTTGTATCAGGTGTAGGTGTTTTAGGTAACATATTGGTTCAGTAATTGATCTTATGAGTATGGTGGATGTAAAAATAGGATAACATTATAATAAAAGGCCACTAGATTAGATCCTTTTCTCCGATGTTTTAACCAGAATGGACCACACAATTGCATCATAATTTATTATGCTTCTAAACATACCTGTGACAAGAACAATTGTATCTTTGCCACGTCCTTCAAGGACAAGCACCCCTCCACAATTGCGACTTCGTCCTATTGAATGGCTAGGAGCGATCCAACCTATATCACCAGTACATAGCCAACCCTCCTCATCTAATACTTGCGTTGTGGCTGATGGATTCTAATCAAGTAAAGAAAATTATCAATAATAAGAACAATTATAGAAAATTATTTGCCATTCATGATCCTGGTGTGTATGTATATTTCATAATAAAGGCAAAACAAAGTTGGCACCAGAAAATCGGTTTTGGATACTTGAAGAAGATGGTTTGGTCATGTGCATAGAATGCCATATGTATTTATGTTAGAAAAAGGGGCTTATGTGTAACTTTGATGTATTTCGTTCTTTTGCTTATTTAAGCAAGTGGTTGTGTGAGATTAGGGAGTGAGGAAGAGAGTAAGAGAGTAAGAGAGAGAGAGAGAGAGTTGTATCTCTTATTCTCATAGTGTATATGTGTCCTCTCCTCCTGTGGATGTAGGTTACCAAGCCAAACCATGTTAAACCATGGTGTTTCTCTATTTCTTATGCTTGTTTCCTCTTTGAGTTTCTGTTCTATTTTATGTTGGTTGACATTGTATCAGAGCTACTTTATGTGGTTTGACATGGTATAAGAGCAGGTGTTCCAGTTGTTGTGAAGGTGTTTCAGTTGTTGCGAAGGTGTTCAGGTTGCGGTGAAGGTGTTCCAGTTGCTATGAAGGTGTTCGGGTTGCTGTAAAGGTGCTCCGGTTGTTGTGAAGAGTTTAATAGTGGTGTGACAAGTGATTTTATGAGCTGTTAAGGTGTTCCAGTTGATGCTATTTCATGTTTAGTTGAGGTAGTAGTTGACTACTACGAAATCTCTTTGTGTAGTAGTCAACTACTAGGAGCAGGATACTGATAGTAGTCGACTACTACACGAAGAGATTTCGTAGTAGTTGACTACTAGCCTTAGGTTGCAGTTGTTTGTGAGTTGGTGGTGGTTTTGTGAGTTGGAAAATAGGCTGTGATGCCTCAAGTTCTGGTTGTTAGTGAGTTGGAAAAAGGGGCTTTGATGCCTCAAGTTGCGGTTGCTTGTGAGTTGGTGAGTAGGAAAAGAGGTTGTGATGCCTCAAATTGTGGTTGCTCATGAGTTGATGATGGTTTTGTGAGTTGAAAAAGGGGTTTTGATGCCTCAAGTTGTGGTTGGTTGGAAATGGGGCTTTGATGCCTCAAGTTGTGCTTGTTTGTGAGTTGGTGAGTTGGAAAAGGAGCTTTGATGCCTCAAGTTGTGGTTGTTTGTGATTTCGTGAGTTGGAAAAGAGGCTCTGATGCCTCAAGTTGTAGTTGTTTGTTGGTGGTGGTTTTGTGAGTTGGAAAATGGGCTTTGATGCCTTGAGTTGTGGTTGTTTGTTGGTGTTGGTTTTGTGAGTTGGAAAAGAAGCTTTGATGCCTTAAGTTGTGGCTGTTTGTGAGTTGGTGGTGTATTGTGAGTTAAAAAAGAGGCTGTGTGTTAGACAATGTATGCCCTTAGCTCCAATAAGAATGATGTACATTATGACATTTAATGTAAATGAATAAAGTACATATTTGATTTATGTTATTGTGGTGTGTTTCTGTGTAATACCCTTAAACTGGACATATATGAGACTTGTGTTAGTTTAGAATCTTCACAGCCGTTGGATAGATCTGGGGAGATTTATCCAGCCAAGGCTGACATTGATGTGCCGCCAAGTTGGTTTGGGTGGCTTGTTTCAGCTGCCAAGGTGAGACCTGAGGTACATGAAGTGTGGGTTTTCTTGWAACCCTGAACCAAACCAGAATTCCAGTATTGCCCTAGACCTTGTGTTGGACAGTTTTTGTATGCCCTTAGCTTCAATCAATTTTGATGTGCTTTTGATATTTAATGTAAATAAATGAAGTACATGTTTGATTCATGTTATGTGGTATACTTCTGTGTAAAACCCTAAAACTGGACACTTAATGAGACTTGTGTTGGTTTTAAATGTTCACAGCCATTGGATAAGTCTGGGGAGATTTATCCTACCAAGGCTGACATTGGTGTGC